TTTTTTTTTACTCTTCAGCATTTATTGATCCATCGACATTTTATTCGAATTCTCCATTTCATCATCATGACACCTATTCAAACGGTCAAAGTGGTGTCAATTCGATGCCATGGCTAGCGCCTTATTCACACTCATTTTCACAATCGGGAACGTACAAACTCTTTCAATAATTGTGATTCTGTCTCTCAATTATTTATTTCAATGTTTAAATTATTAACATCCAAATGATACCGATGTATTTTCAGTTACTTGACATGAGACGTAGAAACAATTTTTTGCATCATTTAGCATCCAAAATTGTACTGAATGCATGACATGTTCAGAAAGTGTGTTACGATTAGGAATGTTCACTTCTCAATTCCCATTAAGAACGGGAATCATGGTTTCATTTTTTCGAAATCGAGACTTTTTTAACTACAAATATTGTTGTTGTTGTTGTTGTTGAACACAAAAAACAAACCAAAAAAAATGACCACTGATAACGTCGAGTCAAATTTTTCTTTAATATTTCTAGAATGTGTAAAGTCCTGTCAGCACTCGTCAAGACGTTGGAGATGACTAGTCGATGTAGTCAATGATCTGTGTCTTTTCTCAGATAAAGGACAGGTGTATTTGGAAATGGGAGTAAAGCGTATAGAAGATAAGCCACAGAAAATATTATATTGAACAAGATCAATGGATTACATTTAACACATCAAGAATTGTTAGCTTAGCGAATATGCGTTATATTACAAAGAATAAAACATTCTCATTTCACCGTATTATTTGTGATTCTATTTATTTTGTATTCAATGATATAAATGACAGTAATTTTTTAACTTTTGCTTGATTTTAAATTACTTCAATTTTAGATGACTTCACCATTTTTACTCTATCACTTCGGATTACGAATTGCAAATTTTGTGCGAAAACCACCGGTGAGTACTTGACAAGATAGAAGATCTTTAAGATAAAAATGTGCACAATATTCTTTGTCTGATTTTTAGTTTCGTACGTTTCATTCATGTATATCACACATAAGTGGCACAATTCAATATTCATCTTCTCCTACATCACTTACATCATCATCATCGACAATATTTTCTAGTCTGTTCAAAAGACAATTTCATTTAACATGTTCATTAAATTATTCAAAACCACGATCATCAACAGATCGAATGAAAGTTTCTAGCGGATTCTTCTCGAATAGTCCATTTCGTGAGAATAAAGATGACCATAAAAGACGTTTAGAATTACAAAATGCAGCATCATTAAGAGCACAATATGGAATTCCTAATTCATTCGTATTGATTTTTGCATTTCCAGGTAATAAGAAATATGGATAGATGACTTATCTTTTTAGTTCCATCCTTCTGAATCTTTTTTTTTTATCACTATTTCTTGAGTAGGTATGTTTGCTCAATATTTGTATGCTCAGCAATGTTTGTTCTTCTCATTATGATTATATATGCATTTTAGGCATGAAAGGTTATAAATGGATGTCTATTATTTGTACGTTTATGACAATATTTACGATTTTATTTTTATTCTTTCAAATTAAAACTGTTATTCAAGAGGGTGGTGATATTCTTGATCAAAAATATATGGAAAACAATGTTCCACCGCTGGTGGTGTACGCTTGTACGCTGATAACCATGGCAATGTGCGTAGTTGTAATTTATATGTGTAAAAAAATACCAATGAGATTTTATTGTCAAGAAACGAATGGTCAGATCCGATATGCATTACTTTATCAAACCGTACTAGGACAATTGAATAAAGTAGAATTTGATCCAACAAAATATAAAATATTGCCATGTAAAATGGACGTACCTGGGCACGAGGAACGAACAATGAAAGTTAAAATTGGTGAGCTTTAAATCATTTTTATTCTTGAATATTTCATAGAAAATCATTTTTCAATAGTTTTTCAACAAGTGCTTACAAGAAAAACATCGCCAAGTGATTTATCGTTTTTTTCATGAATAATTTTTTATGCTGAACTGTCAGCCTTTATTGTAGTGAGATTTTACACGGCAAAAAACAAATCGTAGAAATTCTATCACTTTTTCTTCACGGTTTATCAGTGTTCGTTTTCTGTTCTCATTTTTAGCCATCAAAGGGGTGTATGACTCTTATTTTTACGGGTATTTCTCTCGTGTTTTCTGGGGTACATATCAATTTCTACAGTTTTTTCTCATAGTTATTCTATTCATGGATTTTATGTCAGGAGTTTTATTCCACGATGTTCATTCGTACAGGTATTCTCCGCGGATTTTTCAGACATTTTTTGTGCTACGACTTTCGCTGTATTACATGTTTTTTACCCCATGTAATTTCGAAAACTCTTGTACATGAATAATTCGATATGATCTACAATTTGACTGTATCAGCATGTGGCCGCCTAAGAACTTATGATAATTCTCTAGAGATTCAGTGTCTCATCCAGTAAAGGCTTATGAGGACAGATGAAGATCAGATTCGTAGTCAACATTGAAAAGTGTTCATAATAAAGTATATTCCGATGGAGAAACGATGAATATTCTCTTGTTAGAATTATTTTATTACATGTAAGATCGTTAGAGGGAAAAAGTAGCACAGAATGGATAGACATCAGAGCTCCGTATGGACTCAAAATTCTGAGTCTAGTCCAGTCCGAGTCCATGAAAAAGTTTTTTCAATCCATTGACTCTAAAAAAGTAGTTCAATCCAGTCCACAATACAAAAAACAACATGTTTTTCCTCGATTCAAGTGAATCCAAACCTTTTTTTCGAGTCCAGACCAGTCTGTGACCTTGAAAGTTTGAGTCCAGTCCAGTCCATGTGGACTGAACTGGACTATAGAATCAGTCCATACGGAGCTCTGGTAAACATATAAGGGATACGCAAACACACTGTGGAGTGCCATAGGCTTTATAATTATTTACCTTAAACAATGCTAAATTTCCTGCTTAATTGACATTTTTTATTATTGTAGGTCGTCGTACATTTTATGTTATGGAACGATTATTTCGTACTCGACGAGATATCGATATATTTCGTTCGAAAGGTCAAGTGATTATGCAAGAGAAAGAGTCACAAGAGAAAGATGCTCAAATGGAAGATGAAAATGAAGAAAAAATCATTTGGGAAACGGTTGTCGAAAACCAGAAAAAAGACAATAAATAGCGAATTTAAACTATTTATTCTTATGAACTTAGATATGAGTAATACAGAATTGTTGTTTGAAACAGCTTTTATCAAATAAGCTTTTTTTCCTAATAAAATATCAACATTTCTTTTGTACTGTTGTAAAATGCACTTCTTTAGATTCCTCCAAAATGGTGTACAACATTTATTCTGGAACTGTTAAAGAAATGAGCTTGCACGCATCACTTCAGAAGGGATATTATCTTCCTGATTGAGCAGGCACCAGACTAATTGTAGCTAACACTAAAACAAAATATTGTATTTAATATGACAAGAACAAGGAACGATTGTTATTTTTTGCTCATAATTTATATAATTGTAGTTTTTAACGAATATGCAACCTTTTAAAACAAATTTATCTCTGTAAATCAAACTGTCGTCTATAGCGCTTCGAAGATGTGTAGCTCAAATAGCACAACGAAGACGGAATATAAAGTCATATACAAGAACAATACAGTATAGAAGTTATCTGAATGATAATCTATAATTGGTGGCTTCTCCATTAAAAAAGTATTTAGCTATTTAGTATTTAGCTTGAAGACTACATGAATGATAAATTAAAGATAAAAATATTTTTGCTATAAAACTTATGAGATTCCTTCGAACGATATTTTCGCATGTTGAAAATGGTAGAACATGTCACAGTCTTGGAATATCAGGTCACTGGCGTTATTCTACTCATTTTTTCATAAAAGCCAGCACCATACATTAGTGTGGACAAAGTGTCTAAAGACGAATTGACGAATCGCAATTTTTGGGCGTAAAAATGATGCAACAATTCGCATTTTACCATTGTTTTGCGAATTCGTAGGGAATTCGTAATTCAATGCG